TAATGCTTATTAAGCAGGCCTTAGGCACAGGATCTTTGAAGGAAAACTAGAGCCATTTTAAAGTGCTGAGCAACAAATTAATCCAGCAGTGCTGTCAGTGCCACAAAACCCAATAGCCACTTTCTGGCATATCTGGAATGGCAGGTATATTTCCCAGGCCCTTCAAAACAAGATCCAAATAATTGTGAGATAAAAGGATTTAGCAGAGACAAAGGAAGGCATAGCAAGTAAATAAATGTTATTTAAAAACACAGACATTTCTTGATCTAGGAAAATACTGAAATGGACGTTGCTATGCATGTTCTCAAAGGAGAGAAATGATTAAAGTAGATTCCCTGCCTTTAATGAAGAAAACCTTTCTCTCAATATTTAACCATCCATTACAAGGTTTAATCTACAGAGCTCATAAACATCCAAAGAACAAACTTGAGGATTGCATAATACTTAACTGTACTACTAATCCATATGAACCCTAAACTAGTTATATTCATTATGACTGCAGGATCTTGTCTTCTCCTAGTGGGTGGGAGGGAAGAAGAATTCAGGAAACCACAAACCACCAAATTCTTGTCTTGTGGAAAGGTTTATGTGCTTATGTGCGCAAGTGTGCTTATCAGTCCAGCCCAGTTCCTAACTGCAATTGTGACACAAGCAGAAGTTTTTGCTGTAACACCTACAGTGGTTTTTGTACAGTTCTGCCCGATGTCCTCTGAACCATTTGTACCATTTTTCTTATGCAAGTCACAGTACAGACATTCGTTTGCGTTGCTAGGAGCTGCAGATGGTTTTGCCTCCCTTCCTTAGAAAAGTGGTCTATAAAGCACACTTAGCTGTGCAGATGCCTCAGAACAGGCAAGCAGATTAGTTCCCCACACTTGAAGAGGAGGAGGAGGAGGAGGAGATGGGATTTATACCCCGCCCTTCACTCGGAGTCTCAGGGTGGCTTACAAACTCCTTTCCCTTCCCCTCCCCACAACAGACACCCTGTGAGGTAGGTGGGGCTGAGAGAGCTCTTTCCAGAACTGTCCTTTTTTAAAAATAACATTTTATTAATAAATGCAAAGAAAAATAGCAATTAACAAAACAGGTAAGTTGGGAGTATACAAGAAAAGAGTGCTAGAGTTGCTAAAAAGAGTATTACATTTTCAAAGTTACAGTATCAGGTTACATTTTTCAGATCAATGAGACATTCATATCTTACCGTAGGGATTTCACCCTGATCCATTAAATAATTCACAATAGGGAACCAAATCATAGCATGATCTAAAGAAGATTTGTATACATCTCTTCCATCTACATTTTCTGTTATTTTTGACATTATATAGAACTTCCAAAGTTTAGCATGCCAATGATGTTGTTGAGGACTTTTAGTGTCCTTCCAAAATAAGGCTACTGCATTTTTGGCTGCTGCCAACGAAATGGCTATTCTTTTCATAGTACTACTAGATTGTATATGCATTTGCCATCTATTTAGTAGTATATGTTCCACTGTGCCTTGCAATTCATAACCAGTTCCAAAACAGCTCTAGTTTCGGGCATTCAAGCCAACAATGAACATAATTTCCCACACCTCTGCATTTCTTCCAACATGCAGGAGAAACAGCAGATGTTATATGCGATAATTTTTGAGGTGTTAAATACCAAAAAGTAAGTATTTTGAAAGTTTGTAATTTTATTTCTATAATATTCATATTAAATGGAAATGTCCTCCATATGTATTGCCAGTCATCATCAGATAACATAGAATTACAGATAGAATGCCACCTTTTCTGATATGTCAGTAAGTTGTGAGACTCTATTTCCATCAATACTAAATATATTTTAGCCATAAGTTGTCTTCTAGAGGTATTCATCCATTTGTATATTTTTTCAAAATTTGATAAAGGACGCTTAATAATATTATTTAAATTTATTTGAGAACAAAAGTGGGATATTTGTAGAAATTGCATCCAAGTGATAGTAGAACCCAGTTTTGTTTCTAATTGAGTTTTATTCATTAAAATATTGTTTTCTACAATATCTACAATTTTTGTAATGATTGCTTTTTTCCATGTTTCCTGGTGTATTGGGAAATTTGGGGGTAACAAACTTTTTTGATTAAAGAGATGTTGGAATTTTGAAAGTCCAGAGATCAATTGTTTTCCTTTATTTTCCCAGGTGGCTAAGAAGGTTTGCAGGATCAGACTATCAGTTATTTTTTGGAACGTTCTGAAGGTGCAGCAGCTGCAAGTAGAGGAGTGGGGAATCAAACCTGGTTCTCCCAGATTAGAGTCCGCACACTTAATTACTACACCAAACTGGCTCTTGAGCAAGGGAGCAAGTGATCAAAGGACTAGGTTCTCAACAGACTCCAAAATTATAGAGTCTATTTAGAACCTAGGGTGGGATGGGACACAATCCCAACCCAATTTGTCAAGAGTTTAGAGACTAGCCCCTTCACCTTTCCAGCACTTACCCTTGAGGGCTGGCATTGATTGGAATGTATGATGGAGGGGGGGAAAGATGTGCAGTATGCTTTAAGAAAAAGCAGCAGCATAGCAAGGGAATCTCCCATACAAACCTGTATTCTGTCTGTGTAGTTATCAAGAAGGAGGACACCAGAACTTGTCACTTTCTTTGTCTCCACCATGGTCTTTAAGTCTGCCAGAAGGGACATGTGTTTGGACATATCTGTTGCCAAGACCTTCACAGATGGAGAAAGAATTCTTGGTAAATATGACAAAAGTAGAAATGTGAGTTTCTGAATCAGTATAGCAGCAGTATAGCAGCAGAAGCAGCAGTAACAAAGTTAGGAGATACTACATCCTTACCATGTCTATCACCATTTTCCTGAGAGTTTGACGCTGTTTCTTGGTCAGATTCTGGAAGATGTCACAGTGCTCTTCCTGTAGCAGCTTGAAACCCACAGCAAGGTGGTGATTTTCCAAGACAGACTCATCATTGTACATAAGAGCAAGTTCAGAATCTGGTAAAAAGGGTCAAAGACTTCATAAATTTAAAAAGGGACATAAAGCAAGAACTAGCATGGTAGCACTTTTACCTCTCTGGGCACTCTTTTGACTAACATTTTGGGTACTATACATAAAAAGACTGTCTAAAAGGACAGTCAAAGCAAGATATTTCAGAATGCAAGGTATTAACATGAGCATTTTGCATACCCATCTCAATTCTCTCTGGGTTCATCTTATTTATGGAATCTGAAGGATCAGACTCAGTCCATGTAGTCCAGCATCCTGCTTACTAGCCAGATGGTTTCAGAAAGCCCACAAACAGGACATGAATGAATAGCCCCCCCTGATGTTTGCAACCCAGTAACCAGTGTCCAGAAGCCTGTGAACCTGAAGAGTTCAATTTATTTACCCCCTAGGTTCCTACAAGCCATGTGAAGCCTTATCTACCATCTGATCACTGAATGCGCTGATTTAGCATGCCTGGCATCCTCAAGCTACTCCTTTTAAATGAACTTTATAGTGCACAGTCAAATATTAAGCTGGGAAATCAGTGTAATACAGCCCCACATGAACAGAATGACCTGATAGTCTGTGATTTTTTAAATAAATATAATTACCAAATGGGCTTCATGGAAGAAATGCAAGAGCTATTCTACTTATTATCATTATGTTTTAATCTATCTCCTTCACCAAAGGGCTCAGAAGGGCATATACTGTCTTCCATCCCCCGTGTTCTCTTCACAACAACCCTGTGGGGGAGGTTAGTGTGAGAGAAAGGGACTGTCTAAAGGTCACCAATAAGTTTCACATTTCCCCAGTCCTTAACTAATCACTAAACTACATTGGCTCTTGAACTGATGAAAATGGTGAGTGTATATTTGTGCCATAGCTTTCCTCCCAAGGAGCAGGCATCTTTTAATTTCATGACTGCAGTCAGTCCAAGGGACTCTTAAGAGTCTTCTCCAGCACCATAATTCAAAAGCATCTATTCTTCGGTGCTTGGCTTTCCTTATGGTCCAACTCTTGCAGCCATAATATTACAACTGGGATTACCATTGCTTTGACCATACAGACTTTTGTTGGCAGGGTGATGTCTCTACTTTTTATTATGCTGTCTAGGTTTGCCTGAACAACAAAAAATATATGTGCCTGGTGTTGTTAAGCACATAACTCACTTGTATTAATAAGGAACTGGTTGGAGACACCAGGATGATCCACATCATGAATTGCTGCTGCAAAAATTGCTGCAAGAATTTCCAGGTCTGTGAAAACAGCCTAGAAGAAAAATTAGCACATAAATAAGCCACTGTTATAAATCTACTATCTGCTATGTCAGCTGTACAACCCAAATTATTTGTGTATCTTAAAACAAGCCTTCACTAAACAAAACCCTTCGAGATACAACAACATCCGTCAAATGGTCCATGGGTTTCAAAGTGAACACTGTGACCTTTCCTGGATTGCCTGCTAGTCTTCCTCTACCCTGATACACTGTTTTGTGCTGCACTATCTCCAGTTCTCATTACAGAAAAGTAAAATAACTACATTAAAATAAAACTCACATTCAAATTTCAGTATTTTCATCCCCTCACTCAAATAATAAAACACTTGATACCAGAGTTCCACCTCAGAAATCAAGGCCTAAAAGCTGACAATATAGCCAAAATAAAACTGACTCTAGCAAATGCTTAACAGGCTAAATAGCTAATAAGCTTTAATTACAGTTCTTGTCTTTGTACTGAAGACAAAATAGTGAGAAATAAGAACTGAAAGTATAGGAATCTACCATGACCCCCACTTGCCAAGAAACAGGATATGTAGAAGAGGAGGGCAGAATGCCATAATAGACTAGGATTTTTCAGCAAGACAAATTCCTTATTCCAACATGAAGACTTCTATCTCTGTAAAAACAAACAAACACTCTACTTACATCTAAAGCTGGGGTGGACAGAAGAACATGTGTTGACTGGGCTACATCAGCTGCATGGAGACTGTTGTGGTAGGCTACATCAGAATGGTAGTGGTCTTCCAAAGTCATCATATAAGCTATAAAGGTGTCTGATGAGATTTTGAATGTCTTCAGTAGATCTCTCTCCTGTTTAAGACAATTTAAATGGTATAAGGCAACATGGGTATGGCAGGTATAAGTTTTAAGAAGTAATCACCAAACAACTCCAACAACGGTTCATGAAATTACCAACCTGAAAAATGGCATACATAATGCAGGTGAGAGGTCTATTGTGTGAATATCTTGCAACATTAAATATATTCAGACCCCATTTATTCAGATCATCCAGCTCCTATAAGAAAAACAGCAATAAAAAGTTAATGTGTACCTAGTGTCACCAAATTTTAGATGAGTCCGTATGCACTCCATTACTGTTGTTATAAGCTCAATCAATTCTTTTTTACCAGTTCCTTAAAGCTTGATGATGAATGCTAACTACACGGTTATCAAGAGAACACAGCATGCAAAAGGACCCAGAGGGAATTTATATCAAATAATTAATAAGTGGAGAGCGCATTAAAGGAGTAAGATAATTATTTTGAGCACAGTATGTCTGCTTGCAGATTGAAGGGAAGGGAATAAGAAATGGGAAAGAGCCAATGGTGCCATTATGTAAGCCAAAATACAGGCAGTCTTTTAATGTTACTATGTAAATATTTAAAACTGGCTTTGTTTTAAGTTAGTACAAATGGTGCTACCAATACTGGATATATCCAGATAAGATTATAGCCAGTTTAATAGTCTTTACTTCTTGTTAGAGAACTCTGGGAACTGAGCCAACTCTGGGGACAAGGGGTTTAACATGCAACCATCAGCATCTCAGCAAACTATAATACCCAGAATTCTCCAAGGGAAGCCATGACAGTTTAAGTTATGTAAAAGGGATACAAGGGTATAGCGCAGATGGGTCCCTGCAGTAGCACTGGGATGATAATGCAATATTTATACATAATGACAGCACTCTTTATCTCTGAGCATGGCCAGCCTCAGACAGCACATCTTTCTAAACAGTTCTCTATTATCAGTCTTTTGATCACTCCAGAATTAGATGTATTCTTCCTAAGAGAATACATACCCAAGGCATACCCAAAGTATTTAATTAAAGAAGGGTTTTTTGGGGGGTTTTGTTTTTGCATTCCATTGTTCCATGGCAGGGCATTCCAAAGGCCAACTGTGGGCCTGGGAAGACAAGCAGAGGAGAAATCAGCCTCTCTTAACTATTTATTACTTCTTACTGTTTTGGCAACCAGAGTCATAAACAACAAACCTCTCTTAACTATGGCCCGATTTGCATTTGCTATGTAAAGTTGTTTTGTGCTGCTGTAGTGCTGGCTTCCCATTTGGCTCAGTATAAAGCTCTCCTGTCTGCATCAGGATGCAAGCTGTTTAGGAAGAGTGGGAGCGGGGGGGGGAGCAGCCTCCCAGGGGCACTGGCAGGGTGCTGCGCTGCATTGTGGGGAGGGAACAGCACCTGTGACCCCCACACACAGAGAGAAAGTAAAAGTGGGTGGCCTGGCAGAGGGGGGGCAGGAAAGATGGAACAAGCTGGGTAAAACCCCCAAAAACCCAGCAGTTGCCAGGCAGGGCATTTTGGAGACTGCCCCAGGAAATAACAAATGGTTCAGGGATGGGCATGCTTCCAAACCCCTCCCCCCCAGTATGATTGCAGAAAAATGTCCCCTGGCTGCTTTTAAATGCAGACAACTGGATTTTCAGCTAACTTGTTTCCTTTGTGACAATTTGGGTATCTCCTTAGAAAAGATGGGGGGGGGATTCAACACCAGTTGTCTGCTTTTTCCTCATAGCAGCTCGATGGTGGGGAGGAGCAGTTGTACCACCTTAAAACCACATTCAGATAAGGCGGTGAGATGCCTAGTGACATTAGAGTCACTACTAAAGGGCTATAAAATGATGCAGACAGCTGATGCTGAGATGAAACAATAGCAGAGTGGATGCGGCTTCAAATGTAGACAGAAATTTGTGAGATGATGTGAGATCATTTGCACAATGGTGGGAAATACCAATGCAGTTTGGACCTATGAATTCTTTTTTACTCCAGTGTCTAGTAAAATCCATATCTACACACTCTCCAGGTGAAATTGGCACCAATTATTTCGAACTGACTAATCCATGAGAGGACCTGCGGTGGCTCAAGTGGTTAAGTCGCTGAACTGCAGGCTGTGGAAGGTCGGTAGTTCAGTAGTTCGAGACCCGAGTGTGCCGCATGATGGAGTGAGCTCCCGTCTCTAGTTCCAGCTTCTGCCATTCTAGCAGTTCAAAAGCAAGAAATTGCAAGTAGATAAATAGGTACCACTTCAGTGGGAAGGTAACAGCGTTCCGTGTGCCTTGGTGTTTAGTCATGCCGGCCACATGACCACGGAAATGTCTTCGGACAGCGCTGGCTCTTTGGCTTTGAAACGGAGATGAGCACTGCAACCCTAGAGTCGGATTCGACTGGCTGTTGAGCAAGGGAACCTTTACCTTTTTAATCCATGAGAGGCTGGATAAAGTGGCAACCTCAAGTTTGAAACATAAGAGACAAAAAGGGGCTTTAGTTAACTCTGTGCTAAAGCAGGTGTGCAAAACTATGAGGAATTTCACATTGCCCTTTTTATGCCGGTTTGAAGCCGTTTTTAATCTGTTGTGGAGTAAACTGGTATAGGCTGCCATTTCATACATGGCTTTCCCCTACTGGTAAACAGCTGAATCTGAAGCGGTTTGCCATTTCAGACTGCACTGCTTTTTCCTGCCGTTTTTCGCCTGTGCGGGCAATCTCCGGGTTTTTTTTTAAACGTTCACTTTAGAGCGCTATAGCGCTATAACACAACACTCCAGGCATTCCAATGGGGTTGCTATAATGCTGTTTTGCTGTTGTGTTATAGTGCTATAGAGCTCTAAAGCGAACGTTTAAAAAAAGCCAGAGATCGCCCTCGCGGGCAAAAAACGGCGGGAAAAAGCATTTCAGATTTGGGAGAAGAAACTGAAGACTACTTGGAAGTGGTTTACAGGTAAAACAGTTCAGCCCCATTTCCTGAATGGGACAGAAGCGTTTGTGTGTGAAAGTATAGATATATTCCAGTAGGGAACCGGTTCTAAAACGGTTCTGTCTGAAATGTCAGACCAGAAACCGTTTGGGAACCGTTCCTGAACCGGAATATATCGCCTGTCCACTTCCATAAAAAGACTGATATAACTGAAGTGAGAACTCAGGAGTAGGGTCTCAAACATACCTTAGCTAGATGGTCTTCTTTTTCTGTTTTCACACCAAATCGCGAAATACTTGTGTTATTCAAGCTTGAGCTATGCATTAGCTTTTTCACTCCACTGATTTGTGTCATGAGCTGCTGTTTTTTCTTTTTCTCTCTGTCCTTCTGGGTGGGAGAAGGAATCTCCACATCATTCTGCTTGTCTGTGTAAAAAAAAAGAGAGAGAGGATATGCAGTTTTCAAACATTTTGAATGAGCACCCTCTTTGTTTAGTGTTACATATTCTAAAAATATTTATTCTTAAAATTTTCTACTACAGCTTGCTTATTCAAAATATTTTAGCAATAAGTATAGATCAGAACAACTTTGCTTAAGATTGCACTGTAGATTTCTGAATTAATATGTAGACACTGTGTAATCAATACATTTAATTCTCAACATAGATCTGTGGATACGTAAACCCAGAGTTTCTAGTCATGAACAGACAAGACAGATCTTTCTACAAACTTGATCATGGCCCAGTTTGCAGACAAATCTGAACTTTGAACAAGTAACTTGTGTGACTCACCCAGGACTTGCTAGTTGTTCAACAGCAGTCCCCACAAAAGCCAGTGTGGTATAGTGGTTACAGTTTGATACCAGGATCTAGGACAGCCAGGTTCAATTCACCACTCTGCTGTGGAAGCTCACTGGGTGACCTTGGGACAGTTCCACAGTCTCAGCTTAACTTACCTCATAGGGTAGTTGTGAGCATAAAACAGAGGAGAGGAGAATGATGTGAGCTGCTTTGGGTCCCCATTGTAAAGAACAAAGGGTATAAATGAAGTAAATAAATAATAAATATAGCTGAAGATGGGGATCAGATATATGGTAGGTATAGGTTGGTGGGTGGATGGGAAGGAAAGAAGGAAGCAGAGAAAAGGAACAACTAGAGGGTTGCCAGCAAGAGGGAAATAGGCATACAGGGAAAATGAGGTGCTTTGCAGGTTCTCCACCAAGCACTCGAATCCTGGTCAGCTGGCACCACATAATTTGACCATTATTTTCCCAGGGAGAGGCTTCCAGAGGGGTGGGGGGACGCTGATGACAGGGGTGCAGATGAAGGTAGGTTGGTGGGTGGGTGGGTGGGTGGGTGGGAAGGAGCAAAGGAAGTAGGAAAAGGGATACAGGCTATGGGGCCTTACTACTACTACTGTCCCAATAATTGTGATAAATTGAGTTGTGTAATATATTGACGAAAAATGACTAAACTGAGACTCAGATGTTGGTCATACTTGTCTATGAGAAGACAAGAATCACTAGGAAAGATAGTAATGCTAGGAAAGGTTGAAGTCTGCAGGAAAAGAGGAAGGCCCAACATGAGATGTATTGACTCAATAAAGGAAGCCACATCCTTCAGTTTGCAAGACCTAAGCAAGGCTGTTAATCATGGAATGTTTTAGGGTTGCTATGAGTCAGAAGTGACCTTATGGCACATAATATACCACCCATAATGTATTGGGTTATATAACGGATGAAATCAATGATTATGAAAGTCTGGCATAAATAAGTTTAGGACTGGAATTAACATCACTGTGGAGTTTTAAGGGTATTGATTCTACCACTGATCCATAATATCTTTTTGAGATTGCATCTGCATCAGTGTAATGGTGCCCATACTTGTTTTCATATAGTAGTCATTTTGTTACTGTCTATGCATCCATAGAAAAATCTACTAAAATTCTGAGTTAGAAAGCTGCTGGATGTTCGGAGTGGGACTACTCCCCACAGAACCTCCTCTAAATCTACAGTACAGCTTCTGTGATTCCTAATGCTACCCAGAAATAACAAGGGTAGCTCTAGGAATTGCCCGAAACTCTAAGGTTTTACCCCATAGTCCTCCTGCCCCCAGCCCTCCTGCTGGTTTCCAGGTTTGATCTAGCAACTCTACTTTGAAAGCATGCATAGTTGTTGAGCAATGGCTTTCAGGATACATTTCCCCTCTTCTGCTAGTACCATCTTATACTTTTAGTTTTTATTAATTAGATTGTCTCCTGCTCAAAAGTGACCTTAGTAAAAAAAAAAAACACCTCCCAGTTTTACATGTTGCCCCAGGCTTTGTCTATCCCATTTAGGCAGCAGGGAGTAACCCTGGCATGGGATCTAATCAGGGGTCATTTCGTAGAAAAAGAGCTAGGGGAACTCATTAGCATAACTCATTAGCATATGCCACACCCCCTGACATCACCGGAAGTGTGCCATAAGGCCACACTCCCTGACATCACTGGAAACGTGTCATAAGGCCACACACCCCGCCCCCAATGGTCCCCGCCGCCGGCCTTGCAGCTCCACTGCCGAGCCCCATGAGGGGCCCGGCGGTGGACCTGCAAGGCTGGCGGGAGTGCAAGGACCTCTGGATCTAATCAATACTATTGTTCTGTTCGCTCTGTGCCAGTGTGCACCAGGCTTTCTTAATTTCCTTTTTCAACCATAGCTTCTACTATATTGTTGATGGTTTCATAAGTTCCCTTGTGAATTGAACATGGGTTGTGGCATAATGGACTTGAGTTGGAAGATGTATGAAGCCTTGCTGAGCAACCAGAAGCACCATGTAGATGCCTTGGATCCTGGCCATGGCTGTTAAAATCCTACTCCCACAGAAAGAGTGGTACAGCATATCTTACCTAGGAAAGTGTTTGAAATATATTCGGACACCTGGTTCCCTGATCGGCTCATTTCGGATAGGTGTGTCAGCTCCCGGTTCAACATTCTCTTGAACTGGTGTTTAAAAAAAATAAATAATAGCTTGTTAGTTCCTCTGGATGATGACTTCAAGATAAGTTAAACTTGGAATTAAATACTAGAATGCACAAAATATCTTTAGAAATAAACTATTAATAAAGAAATGTTTTCTATACTTTGAGTTGCACACAAAAGTTCTGTTTCACAAATAGTGGAATACAATGAAGAATGGTGCAAGGAACCATTCCAGGAAAATACCTGGAGACTTTGGGGGTGGATCCAGGAGAGGGCAGGGGCTGGGGAGGGGTCTCAGTATGGTACAATGCCATAGAGTCCACCCTTCAAAGCAGCCATTTTCTCCAGGGGAGCTGATCTCTGTCAGCTGGAGATCAGTTGCAAAAGCCAGAGATCTCCAGGCCCCACTTGGAGGCTGGTAACCCTGAACCATTCCTTCCATTAATGAAGAATGGTACAAGGAACCTTGCTCTAGCAGTAGGTCCTACTGAGGGAACACACCCTTTCCGCCACAGCAAGGCTCCTTGCCCCAACAGAATAGACCCGGCAGCAGACAACGGCTTCCTTAATTAAAAAGAACTTTAGATCTAACTCCTTATGTTTGAACAAGATTATAATGCTATCAGGTCATTTTCTTTTTAAAACCTAATTGTTAAATAATAAAATAATATTTTTCTTTTTAAAAAACAAATATATTTTACAGCAATTTTTTATTTTGGACCTTAAAAGTCTCTCTTCAGTTTTTATTACATAATATCAAACAGGTATTGTCCTCCTTTACAATTACAATAACATTTTACAGAAATAGCTAACAGAAGAAAAAATATACCATCAGCTTAACATCTGGATAAATTATTATGCTGGTATATAACTTGAATATATTTAATGTTAATGCCGATAAAGTGATGCTCCTAGTTTTCATACCATTCGGTTTTTATCCTAATGTTAAGATGCTCTTTAAATTACAGCTCTATGTATCCATACAAAATGCATCCAACTCTATAGGAACACAAATATCAGTCAGATACATACTTTTATCCTAAACACACAGCACACAGTTGGCATTTATTATCTGCTTTTAGTGATTTAAACCCACCTTGATGTAACCCCAAGATACAGATAATAAGTAATTTGCCTCAGGCATTTTTGGAAGACAGCACACCGCAAGCAACAAATCCCTTATGAAGAATCAGCAGATCAGAGGGAGGAATTCCTCAAGAACGAGGATGCCCCAATTTCCCAGTCAATGAAAAGATTAATATTTGTAAAAAAACAAAAACAAAAAACCAGCAGTTCCAGTAATCACAGCTATTTGCCAAGCCAAAACAACGCTGAGGTTTGTATTTCAGTTTTGCAAAAAGGCTGTATTGTTGGAGTTTTTGTTGGCAGAAGACAAAAATCACATGAAGGAGCTAGTCCAAATATTTCCAGCAAGCTGCCTTGAAGCATTTATGAATTATGAATTGTCCTGGCTGCTTAGTTGGCTGATGGGATCTCTCATTCCAGATTAGTATTCCTTAGCTGAAGTGAGCGAGGAAGAAATGACGACGGCTTTTGTAGGTATTGCCGGCTTACAGCCATCTTTTCAAAAGGAAGATTAAAATGGAGGAAGCCCCATGCATATTTAAATATGTCAAAATGAGGCAAGCCCCTCACAGTCACTGCACTGCCATCCTAGAACATTCCCCTTTCACTCGTCAAGGTTTTTAAAGCAATTTTTTTGCATGCAGATTTTCCATTAAATTGGTTTTGTACTTCTTTGCATGTTAAAATATAGACAGAAAATACATTTTAGCATACAACACCTCAACAGAAAACAGAAAATGTTTAACTGAGCCACATTCAGTAGTTTTCATCTAGGCTGTCCTTTGTAAGCAGTGTCTGCAGAGCAGAGTGTAAAATTATTTCCACCTCCTGTCCTCTAAAACAAGTTGCTTCAGAAGCCTCATTTTATTCAGGATGTTAGAAATTCATTTGCCATTCATGCAGCAAAGGAGCTAGCTCATTCCAAACCCTGCCTACTCTTAAGTCAATACAAGAATCTAAACAAAAACTAAAAATACAATTAAAGTGAAATAAACCAAATTGCATCATCACTGACAGTCAAAACACTGCTTTGTATCCCCCCCCCCTTAAGGTGTCATCCTGTCAGGAAATTCCAAACAATAAAGGTGAGTTTACAATTATTTCTATTTCTTGATATGAAGGAACAGTGTTGTTTTGTAATATAAAACCACCCTCATCTCTATTCCCTCTTTAAGAGTTCATATACTGATAGTCCAAAGAATACGTAGGTACCATGGCAACAGTATCACATGATAATCAGCCTCTTTTACTATAAGACTTTCTTTCAGATTACTGTCATGCAGCTGTAATAGCCCCTGTTGTAGGAATTCCTACATCACTTTAAACAAATTTCAAGCTCATTTTCAACATCTAAAGGGAATTATGAACAAGACTAATAGTGTAGAATATTCAAGACAAATTGTCTGAGATGTGTATTAGCTTGAATTGCACAATCAAGTTTTTTCCAGGAAACAATTCTCACCCATTTCTGAAAAATTGATCAGCATGTTAGGTCACAAAAATATGCCATGATGATTTGTATCATGTGTTGTTTCATGGATGAATACATCTGAGTCACAAAATACGAAGTGTGACATATATTTGCATCAAGATTGTATTCTCGCAAGTTCCAACATGGTTTAGGGTTCATGATAATTAAACAATAGAGTACTACTAGAACTATTTCCTTTTCAACCACATAAACACCTATCCAATTCTGTTGCACAGTGATCTTGAACTATGATAACAGATGTCACCCCTTTTTAAACCTTCTCCTAAATGCAGTTCTTTTATCATAGAAATCAAACAGAGAGCCGTGGCTGAAGGGGTCATGGCTCAGTGGCAGAACATTTGCTTGCAATGCACATGGTGGCAGCTTCAACCCCCAGCATCTCCATTTAAAATGATAAAGTAGCATGTAATATGACAGATTGTTACCACAGAATCTGAAGAGCAGCTGGCCAGTCAGAATAGACAATACAAGACGGGGACCCGCGATACTCGCGGGGGGGGGGAGAAGAGCTCCGTCTCCTCCATCCCCCCCCGCTCGATCTCCCCGAGGAGGAGGCGGCGGCGGTGAGGCCGGTCCTCCCCCCCGCCTGGCTCCGAGGAGGAGGTGGCGGCAGAGAGGCCAGTCCTTCTCCCCCCCCCTTGCCGGGCTCGGCGGTGGCAGCGGCGGCAAGGCCGCTCCGAGGCGGCGGCGGCGGAGAGGCCGGTCCTTCCCCCCCTTTGCCGGGCTTGGTGGTGGCGGCGGCAAGGCCAGTCCTCCCCCCGCCCGGCTCCGAGGAGGCGGCTGCGACGAGGTCAGCTACAGAGCATTCTGTGCGCATGCGCACGGAATGCTCTTGCACTTTCGGGGGGATTTAAACATCCCCCCGAATTTTTTTCTACTTTTAGCATTTTTGTGCACACGTGGGGACTGGCCCACATGTGCACAAACCTCCCCCTCCCCCCCAAGTGCCCCAGGAGCGCTGATTTAGCGATCCACACTCCAGGGGCAACTTGGCTATTAGATATATAGATTGGCCTTGATAGACCAATAGTCTGATTCAGTATAAGACAGCTTCATGTGTTTAGATGCCTCAAAATGGCAACATATATGCAATCTTCATCTTTCCCCAATGTGGCCATAGAACTGGGGGTGGACTTTGAATTCTAAAAAATAGTATGCCCCCCACATTGCTATTTAACAATAAAAATTCTCAAGAGACTCATTCACTCAAGAGTTTCCCGAATCTGTCATTTACTTTGGTATCAGAGCTATTCTGCAGTGACAGAATATATCTTGTATCTCTGGCATTTGACTATCCTGTTTTCCTTACTTTCCCCCCCCCCCCACTATGAAAATGCAAGGATGTGTGGTCCCACTCTCTCTCATACAGGGTTGTCTAATAACAACAGTGTCAGTTTACAGTTCCAGAAATTAAAGACCTACTCGACCCTGGGTTGAGTGTTCTGTAGAAATTCCATTTCACTTCCAACCATTGTTGCCTTTGGTCCTTTGAAATAAGGACTATTGGCTATCCTAATATCTTCATTGGTTTTCCCCACTGTTGATCCCACAGCCTACATCTTATGCCAATAATAGCTAGGAGAGGAGTTTGATAGGTAAACAGGCTTATTCTTTGTTTTCCATTTGTCAGTGGATTATATTTGGCCATGTAATTCATCTGTTGAAATGCTTCAAGTAACATGTATACTAGAACATCTTTAGGTGAGAATTGAAATCGCCCAAATACAACTATTTTGCATCTTGGATTTGAACATGTTCTGAAACCACAATCAAAGCTGCTCCTGCCAGTTGCTCTTCAGCACTTGCGTACTGCAGCTTGGGTTTGAATATGCAATCATGTGCATATTTACTAGCAATTGTGGTTGTCATAAATTTAAAAAAATGCTTTAGGGTCTGTATTATTTGTATGTAGGTTCTGAATGTACAAAGGCATGAAGAGGAAGTACATTGCTAATGATTACCTAAAAACAAAACAAAAGTGATACATGGATTCAAATGCAATATAAACTACAATATACCTGTAAAACCTGTCTTTTCCTTTGGCAAGCCAAGAGCTAAATATCTGCATCCCATTCGCAGAAAGACTATGAACAAGATTCTTTCAACACATGCAGAACCAGACCCTGCATATTGCCTGCTGGCATTTTCAGCTTCAGAGGCAAAGGCTGGAAGAGGAGCATCACATGGCCAGAGGCAGCTTCTCTGTGCGTCACTCTCCTCCTGGCACATGATGGGTTTACTCAGGAGTATGTCATAAGATACGGGCGAAGGAAGGTGTGAATGATGCTTGGAGTTAAGGTTAGGAATCCCAGCCATTTGGACACACGGGGGAATGACTTTCAGCTCCTGATCTCACTTTGGGCTGGCATTAATGGACTGATGTGACAACAAAACCAAGGGAAACCAGTTTCAAACCAAGGAATAACAGGTCTTCGATGAAGCA